TGAAGGTATTACAATAATTTGTGATTTTTAAAGTGGGGTAAAAATAATTTGTGATTTTTTTTTTTTGGTAGTGTTATACCTTTTTTATTGAAACTATTTCAAATATAATGAAACCTACTATTGTTTGAGTGACATTTTGAAGAAAAAAACATAACACTATCATAAAAATATTATATCACAAATTATTATAACTTAAAAAATAACAAAATTATCAAACTCTATCATAAAATTACATAATATTTATTAAAAAAATTCATATTATTTATTTTTAAAAAACGTAATAAAATACATACATTTAAGGTCAAGTTTGGCTAACAAAAAAAAGTGCACTTATTTCATCTTTTTATCTGTGTTATACCTTTTTTATTGAAACTATTTCAAATATAATGAAACCTACTATTGTTTGAGTGACATTTTGAAGAAAAAAACATAACACTATCATAAAAATATTATATCACAAATTATTATAACTTAAAAAATAAAAAAATTATCAAACTCTATCATAAAATTACATAATACTTATTAAAAAAATTCATATTATTTATTTTTAAAAAACGTAATAAAATACATACATTAAACACCTTTAACATATGATCATATAGGAAGAACAACCCAAAAAACATCACAAAAAACATGAGGACTTCTACAATGGATGATTTCTTTTACCAAAAATTTGTCTGACGATGGTTTATTTTACATGTAAAATTTACTATTGAATAGTTGAACTTGAACCATTCATCAAGACTTTGGATAAGTTTTGAATTGGAAATTTTGGTCTTTTGGAATTTCTGCAAAAACATTGCTGGTCTTATGGGTTTCTTTGGAAGTCTTTAAACCAGAGTTAGGGCTATTGGCACGTCTTTAGTCACGCCTAAACATTTACCAGTGTTGAACGGCTACTTTGACTAGCCATTTTTTGAAACTTTTTCCCATGGTCTAAAAAAAAAATTATTTGTTTTTTTAGAGCTTGGGTTGAATGTCTAATTTTCAAAAGTTTAAGAGTGCTCAAGTCACAGATTCATTAATAACATTTTTGACTCGTAGACCCACATTTAAATTTGTCTAAAAAAATATTTATTTGTCTAAAATTTACCTATCTGTCTATTTATCCAAATGTCTTCACATTTCTGACTAATGTCACCTATCTATCCACATCACTATCGGTTGTCGTTCGCTAGCGACTTTGCCAAAGCTGAACCATTTTCTCTAGTGACAGCGATTTTTTCGACGACTTTTTATCTTTATCACCAAAAAGGTTAAACTTTCGATGAAATAATATATGACTCCATAACTTTGGATTTTTCACCAATTTGTCCAATAAAAATGTTTGGGAGCACTAATTTGCCACCACCAATGCTCACGCTCTTCTCTCTATTCTCTCTTTCTTCCACGTCATTACAGATGGATTAAGAATGCTATATTGGTGGGATGTAGCATGATTGTTAATCCAATTTTTAAGACAATTCATTAAAACTCTATTATTTTTTTGGTCCATAAGGACAATAAATATTTTAAAGACCATAATATCCATATCTGTTTACTTTAGTTGTCCACTGTCCTACTTAAAATTGGATTAATTTAAGCTGGGAAATTTTTTAAAAAGTACTGTATTCACTATTTTCAAATAATGCTTACCAGTAAGAAAAAATGCTAAAATAACTAAAGTGCTTCACATGTGTTGTTTTTTTTTTTTCTATTTTATTTATTATTATTTATCTATCAATCATCGTTTTTAAATAATGCTTCAATTCATAAATTGAAGTCAAAATTTAAAACAAATAAATTTAATATAATTTTTATTATTATATTAAATTTAACTGGCCTCGTTTGGCAAGAGGCTATTTTAGCCAATTAGCCAAAAAGTTACTAAATTAGCCAAAAAGCCAATAACCCATGCCAAAAAGTCAAAGATTATCTTTTCTCTCTACTTTTTGCACATCTTTTCGTAATTAGCCAAAAAGCCATCCCAAACATACAAGTTTTTTTTACCTACCTTTTTAGCCAAATAGCCAAAAAGTTACTAAATTAACCTGTTCCCAAACGAGACCATCTCCAATAATTTGTTATTAGAGCTGTTAAAACCATTTTATAGCAGGTGTGCACCAAAAAAACCCCCTACTCTTGCTAAATTATAGCAATGCTATATCTAATGCCAAATTTGGCAGCAGTTTGGCAATTGCCAAACTTGCCAGCTCACAACATCCAACAGTTTTGATTTTCCACCAACAAACAATCAATAGTAAACAAGAATTGAACAAAAGAATAGCAAAAAAAATTTTAAATTTCTTTCAAATTTTTACAACAAATTTTCACACAGATATTTTCAAAAAAAAAAATTATACAAAAATATTTTTAGGGAAAAAAACAGATCAAAAAATGAGGGGGGAAAAATAAAGAATCTAGAAAAAATATTTAAGGAAAAAAAATACAAATATCAATAGAAAGACAGAAGAATACAAAAATCCTAATATTTTCCACCACCAATGCTCACGCTCTTCTCTCTATTCTCTCTTTCTTCCACGTCATTATAGATGGATTAAGAATGCTATATTGGTGGGATGTAGCATGATTGTTAATCTAATTTTTAAGACAATTCATTAAAACTCTATTATTTTTTATGGTCCATAAGGACAATAAATATTTTAAAGACCATAATATCCATATCTGTTTACTTTGATTGTCCACTGTCCTACTGAAAATTGGATTAGTTTAAAGTGGAAAGTTTTTAAAAAGTACTGTATTCACTATTTTCAAATAATGCTTACCAGTAAGAAAAAATGCTAAAATAACTAAAGTGCTTCACATGTGTTGTTTTTTATTTATTTATTTATTATTATTTATCTATCAATTATCGTTTTTAAATAATGCTTCAATTCATTAATTGAAGTCAAAATTTAAAACAAATAAATTTAATATAATTTTCATTATTATATTAAATTTAACTTAGTTTAAACCATCTCCAATAATTTGTCATTTTATAGGAGGTGTGCACCAAAAAAAACCCCTACTCTTGCTAAATTATAGCAATGCTATATCTAATGCCAAATTTGGCAGGAGTTTGGCAATTGCCAAACTTGTCAGCTCAACAACATCCAACAGTTTTGATTTTCCACCAACAAACAATCAATAGTAAACAAGAATTGACCAAACGAACCCTTTAAATTTCTTTCAAATTTTAACAACAAATTTTCACACAGATATTTAAAAAAAAAAAAAAAATTTTACAAAAATATTTTTAGGGAAAAAAACAGATCAAAAAATGAGGAGGGAAAAATAAAGAATCTAGAAAAAATATTTAAGGAAAAAAAATAAAAATACCAATAGAAAGACAGAAGAATACAAATACCCTAATATTTCCATGCTGTGTAAAATCCCACAATGAACAATCAAAGATGAGCAATGGTAGAGGGCCCAAATTCTGTGGCTCAAATGTGGCTCAAATAGCCAAACGACGTCGTTTTGAGTACAAAACAACATCAAAATGGCCAAAACGACGTCGTTTTGGCCATTTGAGCCACAGAATTAGGGTCCCCAAACATTTTTCATCAAAGATACACCATGTTTGCGAGGATCTGGAATGGAAATAAAGAATGGAAGGATCTGGATGAATGGGTGAGGAGCTCATCCAAGGGCTATGGAAATAAGTTGATTTTTGACTTACAAAAAGTTATAAGCTGTATTGTTAAGCTGAACCAAAACACATCAAAATAACTTAAATTAAGCTAAAAGCTGAAATAAGCTGGAAATAAGCTCTACCAAACAAGGCCTATAAGCTATAAGCTGTTAGGCTGTGTTATAATCACTTTCTCACAACTCTACCAAACGGGACCTATAAAGGGAAGGAAAAATTATTCCATGTGACATAGACATTGATTTGGCATGTGAATTAGAAGAATTTATTTATTTATTTATTTATTTAATTATTTTTTGATTTGTCTAGTCTTATAGAATGTAAATATATGTATTTTTCAAAAAAGTTTAAGACCAAAAAAAAAAAAATCAACAAAAAAATTATTCAAAAAATTAAACTAAAACACCACTCAAAAAAGAGGAAAGTTTGATTATCATTGTGCCAAAATGACGTGTGAGTAAGTACCATTATTATAATTTAATATTTTGTTACTGTTATAGTATGTCAAATTATAATTTTGACATTGCCAAAATGACATTGACCATTAAAAATGCTCTTATTTGCGTCAAATTAACTTGCACTCAATTTATCTTAACAGGATGTAATTATAGAAGTATATATGTATTTTTTTATTTAAAAAAATATATTTGGTCAAAGATTATAATTAGACATTAGTAATTTAATTATAATGACAACGTAATGGTATAGACATAATTTTTATATAAAAAAAATTTGGTCAAAGATGTTATATATAAAATATTGTTATTTATGTGATAAATTTAACAATAGTAGTATTATATTTATGGCGGGCTACTTTTCGCTCTGTGATTGGACTGGTGAGTATTATTGGACTTGTAGAGATTTATTTTAAATTTTATTTTAATAATTTGAACGGTTGAATGTGTGAAATTTATTAAATACTATTTTCTTGTAAAAAATTTAAATTAATCGGATATTAATATTTATATGATCAAATCATTTTGTATAAAGAAATAGACGATAAAAAAATAAATGATTAATAAAAATTTGATTCGATAAAATAATTATCAATATTTAATTATCGTAATTTTTTATAGACATATAATACTCAATAAATTGTCAAAACAAAACTTATAATAAATACCTATAAATTTAACAACATTCATCAATCTAATCACCAGCCGGAAGGAAGTCCAACCCATATTTATAGAGAAAAGATAGGGATCATGAAAATTTTTTCATGAAAATGATCATGAAAGAATTATGACCCTTGGATTACCTTGATTAGTGTGTGGTGCTTTATTTTAAATGTAATCCAATAGTCATAAATCTTTCATAATCATTTTCATGAAACTTTTTTCATGATACCTAGTATTGCTCATATTTATATGTTTCGCACCTAATGAGTTATTTTCGCACACGCGCGCGCACTCGTAACCGTTTATATGGTAAAAATTTCAAAAACCTCTCTCTTCTCATCATAATCTCCGTCTTCAAAAACCCCCAAGTCCTCTCTCTTCGCTCAGTTCGCTCAACTCTCTCTCTCTCTAGAACTACATCACCAGAGCACAAAAACATGGTGAGGGAGAAAAGCGAGTTATACGTTACGGTGCCGAGCTTATTCAGATGCCCGATCTCGATGGACGTCATGAAGTCTCCGGTGAGCCTCTGCACTGGCGTCACCTACGATCGCTCCAGCATCCAAACATGGCTCGACACTGGCCACAACACTTGTCCCGCCACCATGCAGGTTCTCCCCTCCACCGACTTCGTCCCCAACCTCAACCTCCGCCGCCTCATCCACCTCTGGCTCGACTCCCACTCCCTCCGCTCCCCTCCTCCTCCTCCTCCTCCTCCTCCTTCACTCTCAAAGCAACAACTTCTAGACTCAATCAACAACAACATCGATAATTCAACTTCTCTCTCTCGGATCGCTGATTTCGCCAAGTATTCCGATGAAAACCGAGCGTTTGTGGCTAGCATTGATGGCCTAATCGCAACGATAGTTGGAATTCTGAGCAATGTCAATGGAATTCAAGTCTTCGAATCGGTTGTAACAGTTTTGTATCTGATTGTATGTGAAAATGGAGTCAGAGAACAACTGCGCAGACTGATCTTCGAAAGCAATCGAGATTGTTTATCTCCATTCGTTTTGGTTCTTCAAAGCGGTAGTTTGAGTGCCAGAATCGAATCAGCTAGGGTTTTGGAATCAATCGCATTCGATTCCGAGTCTCAACGTGCAATCGCCGAAAAGCAAGGGTTACTACACGAACTGTACCTTCTAGCCAGCTCGGAGACCGGTCCGAATGCTGTTGAAGCCGGTTTCTCGTCCCTGATAGCAGTATCAACAACATCGAGACAGGTCAAAAAGGAACTCGTCCGGTTCGGAATCGTAACAACCGCAGGGAAAATTCTCTCCGATTCGAACACAGTTGCGTCGGTGATCGAGAAATCGCTGAAACTTCTAGAGATTGTGTCGGCGTGCGCGGAGGGACGGGCGGCGATAGGAGGAGACGAGAGTTGCGTGGCGGCAATTGTGAAGAGGTTGATGAAGATGTCGAGTGCGGCGACGGAGCACGGTGTTGTGGTGCTCTGGAGCGTATGCTATATGTCCCGAGATCAGACGGCTCAGGAGGCGGCGATGAGGAGCAATGGTTTGACCAAGTTGCTGCTGGTGATGCAGAGCGATTGTACGGCGAATGCGAAAACGATGTGCAGTGATTTGGTGAAGATGTTCCGAGTCAACTCAAAGTCGTGTTTGGCGAGTTATGAGACTAAGACCACTCATATCATGCCTTATTGACTCGGTAAACAAACTCAATTCACAATTTTGTTTGACATACAGATAGAGATTATTACTTCACAGGCTGTAATTTTAGAAGGAAATTTAATTGAAAAGCAAGAGAAACTTTTTCATTATTGGTATGAAATTATACGAAGATTTGGTCAAACGGAGTTGGATTTTCATTTTCTTCTTGTATTGTTTAGGTTATACAATCTTTAGATTTAAGATTGAGTAGGAAGTTTTGGTATGAAATTACATGAAGAAATGGTCAAAGGGAATCAGAATTTTATTTTCTTTCTTGCTATATTTATCCTTCCTTTGGTAGAGTTTGGATCTTTTGCCGCCTTTCTCTGCGGTAGTTCTTGCGATGTCCCAAAATGACAAAAAGAGAAAAGAAAAAAAAGAAGCACAGAATCAGAGAAGAGAAAGCGGGGAAGAACATGGCCATCTGTGTCTACCATGACTTACCAAGAACACAAGCTCTGTCATCGTCCAAAATAGCCATGGTCATCATCCATGAATTGATATAAACCCAAGAAACACAAATAATTGATATAAATGGGTTCTATAAACCTAATCAACATAGATGGGATTCACTAAAACTGATATGAACCCAATAACATTGATATAATTTCATCATCATCATCAACAACAATAACTAAAAAAAAAAAAGAGCAGAAAAAGAGAGAGACTCAGATCTGGAGACTTAGATTCTCCAGCCGATTCCCCTGCTACCACTGGAGCTCACCGTTGTTCATTTGCGCGATCTCAGATCTGGAGACATGGTAGTGAGGTTGGACCCTTCAATGATCGTCGACTGGTTATAGAGAGAGAGAGAGAGAGAAAAGCCGTGAGAGACAGAGACGAGCGTAATTCTCAATCGACAGTGACAAAAACAGAAGAGAAGAGTTTGACGATTTGACGGTGAATGAGTCGCCGAGGAGTTCACCGGCGAGAGAGAAAAAACTCTCTTCCTCTGTGCTTTCTTCGTTCTGCTTCTCCTTCTCCTTCTCCTCTCTCTCTTCCTCTGCTTTCTTCTTCCCATCTTTCTCTTTGATTCTGTGCTCTTTTTTTTTTTTTTGAAATTTTGCCCCAAAATGACATCATTTTGGGACGCCACAAGAATCGCCGCAGAGAAAGGTGGCAGAGGATCCGGACTCCCTTTGGTAATGTGCTAAACTAAGATTGATGGTTTCTTTAGTTAAAAAAAAAAAAGATTAAAAAATTAATAAAACAAAATATCACATTTAAATTATAATCATTTTACTTTAAAAAGTCAAAAAATCAACCCATTTCCCAAATGAAGCCTCAGGTTTTGTTTGGAGATTGACTAAAATAACTTAAAGCTCACTATAGCTTCGTTTGATAAGAAGGGATGGGTTGGGTTCGGGGATATGTTAGTCATAAAAAGACAAAATACGATTTTTAGCCCAATGAGATAAAATATCACATCTAACTCATAATTATTACATTCTTTCTCTCATAAAAAGTCAACAAAATCAAAAAGGCTTTCTGAAATGAGACTTTTTAGTCCTAGACAAAACAACAGTGATTTAGACCCCCTCAAATTTCAACCCCCACCACCCCCACACACACGTGGAGGGTAGTGATTGGAGGAGGAGAAAAAAAAAGAAAAAGAAAAAGAAAAAGTGACCAATTAAAAAAGAAAAGGGGTCAAAAGGGGGTGGGAGAAAGGGGGTCTCAATCTTTATTCTAGACTAAAATAGTCAAAAAGCCAACCAATTTCCCAAACGAATCCTATAAGCTGTCACATATGAAGCACAGATACGGATACTGTGACACCCTGAACGTTTAATTAAATATCACATAAATATTTTAAAATATATATAATTGTGAATGTATGTGATAATATATTATTAAATAAATAATAATAAATACAGAATCTAATTTGGCATTGGGTTATCAAATATAAAATTAATTAGGGATTATTATTTGGGACCACATTAACAGAAATATGGAATTATAATACTAGTTGAGCTAAATTAAAGTTAAAGATAGTAAATAAATAAATATAAAAGTAAGAGTAAACAAATAATACACTACAACAAAAAGCATTTTTTGAGACGTTTTTTAGCAACAAAATTGAATTTGGTTGCCAATTGTATTTTTTTGGCGACAATATATGTGTTGGTCGCCAAAAAATACACCATTAGCAACAAATATCTCAATTCGTCGCGAAAAATGGTTGGCGCCAATTTAATTTTTCGCGCGGGAGCGCTAAAAAAGTTTTGGCGACGAAATTAATATATGGCGACGAAACTGTTTGTCGCCAATTTGCGACTTTTTGGCGACAGAATTAAACTAGTCGCTGAAAGGTGAGTGATATTTATGGCAACAAAATGTTTTTCGTCGCCAATAAATTTCTTGTCAAAACGACGTCGTTTTGAATCTGTCTTTTTTTTTTTCTTTTTTTTTTAAATGACTTTTAAGTGAATAAACAAAAGTGACCTAAAAGGAGACTTCTTCATCTTCTCATTTCAGAACCTGAAGCGGCACAAACAGGTATGTTTTCTCTCCCTCTTCTTCGTCTCCCTCTCCCTCTCCCTCTCATTCTCCCTCTCCCTCTCACTCTCACTCACTCACACTGTGAGAGTTTCGGACTGATATTGTGAGTTTCGGACTGATATTGTGATTTTCGGGATTGATCTATTCTAATTTTTGGACTGATTTTGAAACTAATTTTCGGGACTGGTATGTTCGGAATTTTTGGACTGATTTTTGTAAGAAACAAAATCTAGAGCTTTTTCAAGAGATGCAAGGATGGTTTATATAAGACTTTATAGAGTGGAGCTGTGATAATCTCTGTTCTTGTGATTGATTTTGGAGCTGTGAGAATTTTGGTGTCTGTCTCTGTCTCTGTTCTTTTTTATTTTTTTATTTTTTTTTATTTCTTGGTGATGTATTATATAGCATTAGAAGGCAAAAAGGTTAATGGATGTTACCAAGAAAACAGAGATCAAACTTAAGCTCGTTTGTTTAAGTGAAAGTTATTTTTTATTTTCTGTATTTTCTATAGTTTTTTATGAAGGAAAACAAAAGTTAACAAAAAAATATATTTTTCATAGTCAATGAAAAATAATTTGTTTGGGTGAAAAATATTTTTCATTGTTAAAAAGTGAAAAAATATTGTTTAGATTAATATTTACCACCGCTGTCAGTGTGTCGATGAGGCCTATCGATTGTGAGCACACAGCATGACATGGCATTAAGAAGCATATGTTAATGGGATATTCAAGAGCATTGGCTGAGATCATCTTTGCCATTGGTTTAGATGGAGTATGCAAAATATGACTCTTGTTTTGTTTTGTTGGGTATGTGAATGAACCAGGGAACTTGCATTTTTTTTGTATTTTTATTCAAGTGGTGTGTCATGAGGGTGGACCACAGTTTTGTGTTGAATATTCTTACAAGTTACAACTATTCATTGCCCAAAAAATTATAGATATTTTGTGTATCGGTGACCCTTTTAATAATTTCATCATATAACATTCATTTCATGTCCACTCTCCATTAATTTCATGTACAGTGCAATTTAATTTAAACTTTGATTTACAATTCAAATGTTATAGGTTATTGGCTAATGCGAAGAGATAAAAAAGCTGCAATCATTCGTTGGGGGCAATTACTACATCAAGTAAGCTTTGACTATATTTTAGGGCATTTTAAATTTATTTATCAAGTTAGTCATTTTAGTTTCTACACCTATGATCTTGAAACTATATAACCTTATTAAATTTAATAAGTCTAGTTGTCAAAAAAAATGGGACTAGATACGTCATTTAGCAACTTTAATATTTTAGTTGATTTTTTTATTTTTTTATGAAATGAAAAAGAATTATGTTTTGGATGATTTGTGGATTTTTTTTTTTTTTTTTGTAGGTGAATAGATAATTGTAAAAGAAAAAGTTGTTGATTAATGTATAGGACATGACATTTTGTATTATTAACTATTTTTTTCTATTGACTATTTACCCAAAATATAAGTCCCAAACAGGCCTAAAAAGAAAAGAGAAATAATCAGTTATCTTTTTGTAAAGTCTCTGGGTGAGTATGTGACAACAAAGCTAAAATCACACACTTTGATAAAATGAAGTCCATGAACAATCCCATAAGGTAATAAAGAGAATCTTAGTTGCAACTTTGTTCAAAGTTCCTGATTGAGATATGGATCACAAGGATACTGTGTAGGACCTCTCTATATTTCAAACCAATAATATAGATACCTAGTCAATATATATTTGGATCCAATTCTTTTAGGATAAATTGCACTCTGCCCCTTCATTTTTAGTCATTTTTTTATTTTTTTTATTTTGATCATTCATGTTTCAAGTTTTTTTCTAATTTACTCCTAAAACTAACTTTTGTTCAAAATTAGATAGAAAATGCATGTTTCCTGCCACATCATATAAAATGAGGGTTGTTTCTGGGACTACTGGGTGATAATTTGATTATCTGCTAATCTGTATCTGTTGGGTGATAACCTGATGCTAATCTACTAATCTGATGTGTGTCTGTTGCTGTTTTTGGCCTATGCTAGCACTGGTTCCATGGCTCTTTTTGTTTTGTTTGTATTTGGATTAGGTTGCATGCCTCTATTTTGGTTTGTAGTTGCTGTATTGCTTGCATCATCCCTCTCTTTTTGTTGATGTTTTCTTCCTTTCTGTAAGGTTATCCATCATCAATAAAGGGTTATTTGTTGTTGATTAAAAAAATAAAAAATAAAAGGGCAAACTGTAAATTACCCTTCAGTTTATATGTGGTTCATGCCACATTATGGGACTGTTTTGTATGGTTTATATGAGTTGTTTATAGTTATTTATTATTTTCAGAGTCAATTTAAACTGTTTTGTATAGTTTCTGTTTATAGTTTATTAGGTAAGAATAGTTTAAGAGCAATGCTACGTCTATTTAAAGTCTTGCTAACAATATTACAAAAAACATATATGTTCAAATATCATTGGAAAACAGCCATCAAGGCCAATAGGATGTTGGAAGATCACCATATAATTTGACTTATAGTTTCTTATACTATACAATGTCATCATGTGTACATGCAGCATCTTTAAATTAAATGTTAAATTAAAAAAATGTATTACAAGGTTTGGCTTTTTTGAGAGAAAATATTATTTTTTTATTGTTTCTCAATGTTTACCTAATGTTTTGAGCATTCATGATATGACAAACACTTATATGACTCAAGGAACTATTTGACATGTAATTCTCTAATTCAAAGGAATTTCACATAACCATGGCTTTGTAGGTGACCAAATATGGATAAGAGTTGGATGCTACTTAGGGATAGGATGAGTTCCCAGTATCGAGATGGGGTGAAGGCTTTTGTTCAATTTGCAATGATGAATGTAGAGCCAAATGATAAGATTCGTTGCCCATGTATGGACTGTTTGAATTGTGAACGACATACTTGTAAAATTGTGGAGTATCATTTAGTTGTGAAAGGGATGTCTCCTTCTTATAAGACTTGGGTGCATCACGGGGAATCTGTTCCCATGAATCAATCTCATGCATTGAATAATGACAACCACAATGACTTTGGAAGTGTTGGGGATAGAATGGAAGCAGAGACAGGCGAAGATCAAGATGAATCCTAAAATTTGTTAGACAGATGTATTACATGGGGATAATAAATTGATCGATGAACTATAGATAGGTGTATGATGTGTCAGAGTAAGAGGTGAAAGAGCGCCAGAAGGGTGACAATGAACAGGATGAGAGCTATGGAGCGCGCGTAACAGCACTCGCTCTCTCCGAGACTAAAACAGGTGTGACATATATATATATATGTGATGTAGAGTTGCACAGCAAGCGTGAGGAAAGAGCAGTGTAGGTAGTTGGATCGAAGACAATAGGGTGTCGTAAAGTTTTCTCTTTTATCAATTTGTGTTGAAGAGCCTTCATGTGAAGGTGTTGAACAAGTGGCATAAGTCTTCAACATGGTTGTTGGGGTATTAAAGGACTATCCTAAACGTGTCGATCAGTGTCAGGCTT